GGAGGAGAAGCGCGAGGGGAGGGGAGGGGAGGGGAGGGAGGGAGGTGGCGAGTGACCTGCAGAAAGTGTAAACACAGCTAGAACGCCGGGTTTGCGTTTCCAATGCGCGCTTTGCTCGTTAGCAACTCGGGCGGGATCCCGGCGGTCCAATGGCTGGACTCGGAACCATCTCTGAGGCATACAGGTGAAGGTACTGTTGCAGCAAGAGAAAACCAGGAAAAACTTTTTTTTTTTTTTTTTTTTTTGGGAATTATGAAAGTGAACGAGAAAAGTGTTTGTTCACCAAGGTCTCCTTCTTCCCTGCCCCGCCCATTTCGGCCCTAGTTGCATTACTCCCCATCCGCCAAGATTTCGAATGCATCTGGACAAAAGGATGTCCACATGCAATCAAAATGTTGGCGGATGGCGAGGGCGAGTAGTGCGACGAGGCCTTTCCTCTGATGTTCCCCTCCGTCAGCTCTACGCGGATGTCTGTCGGGACATCATCAGGCTTGGGCGACCTCGGCGTAGCTGGGTCGAGGTGCCGCCATCAAAGAGGATTGGAGGGAATGCCTGAATGAGATCGTGTTTGTGGTGAGGTGCAGGAAATCCAGGGTGAACTGCTTTTCTGCATCTGTGCATAAAACACGAGCAGATTCAGGAGGTTAATCCAATCGTCGTCGTTGCCAGGGGGGGACCTCGCCCCTGTAGTCGGTAGAGGACGTGACTGACAGGAAGGTCCGTGGTTGTTATCGGCCTGGGCGCATTTCGTTAATTGGCGGGGGGTTCTTTGTCTGTTTTTCGTTAATTGGCGGAGGTTCTTTGTCTGTTTCGGTCGGTTTTTTCGCTTTTTTCTTTTTGGGGGGGGGGGGGGAAGGATTTTGGTTTCGGTCGCTTTTCACAGCTCCCGCCAATTTGTATTTTTTCCTTTTGTTCTCCAAGCCGCCAATTTTGACGGGCCGTCCTTCGGGACATCCGTTAAAATTGGAATGATACAGAGAAGATTAGCATGGCCCCTGCGCAAGGATGACACGCATAAATCGAGAAATGGTCCAAATTTTTTATAAGGAAAAAAAAAAAAAAAAAAATTGACGGGCCCAAAGTACCGCCAATTTGGTTTAAAAGCATTCTGAAAGAGTTTAGAAGAAACAAGCTCCGAAAGAGTTGAGAGAAGCTAAAGCCTCCTTACACGGACTCAGGGGAAAACCAGTACATCCACACTCTCTCATAAGATCCCTTGACCAATGCAGACCCTGGGCAAGAGGGACAAGGAGAAAGACAAGCAGAGGAGGAATTCTCTGACGCCTATTGGACAGCAATCCGCAAAAGAGCACTCCAACAGCTAGAAGCACGAGAAGTAAAACAGCAGGAACAGTGGAAAACATGGCTG